GTAAACGCGCCAAAACTTCTTTGGGAAGGCGGTCCCCGGGTAGCATCTCTTCAACATGTGGGATCACCGCTATGGCGGCAACAGGCTGACCACCCGCTGCGGCCGGCGTTTCCGGAGTAGACGCCGAAGCCGGCGCTTCTACTTTTTGCGGTCCTTCTTTAAGAACTCCAGGCTCCTGAGCTGAAGAACCTCCAGCATTGACTGCCGCGCCGGCGCCAACCGGTTTGGATGGAGGTGCGCTGGATGTGGCCGCGTGACTAGCCCCGACTAGCGCCAACTGCTCCAACTGCGCCTCCACCATAAGCTTGCCATAGGGCTGAGTCAGTGCCTTATACGGTAAGTGACCAAGAAGAATCGTAGGATCTTTGAAACGCATCGCACTGAGCGTGGCGTTCTCCCCCTGTTTGTCTTTCACCACGATATCGTGAACCCAGACACCCGTTTCCTTACCAATGATGATCCCGCTCAGGCCAAGCATCTCGGCCAACGTCACGGAAGAATGCGGCATGGCTGTCAGCGCGCGCTTTTCGAACACACCTACAACACCTTTAAGGCCTGCTGGCCACGCGACATAAAGGCCGTCAGAACCCCAGAACACGGTCCCACCTGGTTCATTGCAACGCCATGAACCTTCCTCAATCAGTTCCCGCATGGCATTGAGCAAATGCGGCTCGAACTGCGTACCGACCGTAAGCCTTCCAAAGCGGGATGGTTGATGAAGGGCGTCAACTTCTTTGACCCGTGAAACAACACTCTTGAGGATCGCCCCAAGAATCGACTCGCTGGGTGCCATTTCCCGTGTGACGGCAATATTCACATCACGGATGATTTGACTGTCAGTGGCTGCCAGCCAATCCATAACCTCTCCTGGCACTACCGTAGACAGTAGAGAGGCACCCTCGGCCCCGGTCACCTTTGCTTTCTCGTGCCAAACAACGTGATAACGGCTGAGGTTTTCCTTTTGAATCCAGTCATACACCGACGTTCCATATCGTGGCCACTGCTTGCCGTCAAGGGAGGTGACGGTCATTGAGCCCACCGGAACGTGGAGCTGACTCAAGAGACCAGCAATAAAGGCCGAATAACGCCACGCACCCTCTGTCCGGTGACGAACTTCGATGGTCGCCTCGGGCACGAATATCTTGCCCTCAGCTGACTGTCGCGCCAGAAGCGCCACGTCAAGACACATGTTGAATAAACCGCCAGGAGAGCTGTAGTGCGAGTACGGTGTCGCTGGCAAAAGATGAACCTGCGCAGCGAGATTACGCAGTGGCAACATGTAGAGGCGATCGAACTCACTAGCGGTCCCGCCGGCAATCTCAGCAAGCCTTTTGATTTTTGCGCTGGCACCAAGAATGATGTCCCCTGGTGGTACAGCTGGCAGACCGGGATCTACTGGGGGATAGATCGTCACATAGTTGGGCCGCTGATCATCGCCCAGTGAAGCCATAGCGAGAGTGGCACGAGTCTCAGGTATCGGAGCTTCCGGCTTGGGTGTTTGCCTTGTAGGAAAGAGCTTTGACAGTAAGGACATGAGCACAGTTTGCCCAGTTATTTACCAACTCTCTTCCGGGTAATATGCCCAAATCAGCCAATTAATCGGCAATTTAGGTTGTGCAGAACATTTCTGGCAGGAGTTCAGCCAACCTCTACGTCGCGAGTGACGGTCGTGCCGCGATTTGCTTCAGAGATATCGCAAAAAACGCACTGCAGGGAGTACGACGACAAGTGCCTCGTCAAAAGATTTCTGGAACCACAACCAGTGCAGCGAATCAGATTGGATTGTTTGGCCTCAAGGTCGAGAGCTATGCTGTAAAAGTGTTCAAACCTGATGACTGGAATTGAGGTCTGGCTGGCACACAGTGTTTGATGGTTCTTCCTTGCGTAGGTCGTGTAGACAGAAACAATTGAGTCCTGGAACGAAAACCCCAGTTTTCTGAGGTCATCGAACTGGTTGTTCATCTCATTTAGAGCAAGTCGGGATGCTCGGTTTGAGTATGTTTTCGCGATCAAGCGACTGACAGGCGCCTTAGCGCCACGAGGTGGCTTGCTGTCAGGCGTGATTTCATAGAGTAGCCGGGCGACAGCTTCAATGTGTGGAAGTGGCAAAAGCGCTTTGATGGTATCGATACGCGCCGTGTACATCACCAACAATCGTAGGCGTTCAATATCTGCAGCGGAAAAACTTGCAAGGAGTAACTGGCGTTTGAGCACAATGCTTACCCCTTCATTGCCGCTTAAGGCGGGTCGCACTTCGCATGTGTGCCTTGGCCTGTTCTGGGTTGAGCTTGGCGCAAACACTCAGGACATTTGGCTCGATTACCGGCTGGAATAGAAACTGTCCCAGATTAGCGATTTCCACAAGCTGCGCATTGCTGAGCTCTAACACTGCTCTCATGAAAGACTGAGATATGTTGAGC